CCTTCGCAGGGACTCCTCAGTCAGGAGCCCCTTCATTCAGAACAGTCGGGGCGTTGATCTAAGGAACCCCGAATCAGGAAGGAGGCCCCTCTTTTCCATAAGTTAAACTTCGATCTCCCACCGGCAACAGAAGGAACACCTGAGGCAAGCTGTGAAACACTTGAGGAACACGGGGCCCCTCCCCAACGAAAAGGGTCCCTTCTTCAGCAACCCGACTGTAGGATCTCGACCACAAGAAACCTTCCACAAGAAACCCAACCCTGAGAACCCAGGACGTCCACTGGTTTTGTTGGTGCGGGAACGTCGCGCTTTCCGTAGCAGAACCATCGAAACCCAAGAAACCCAGGGCACCCTGGAGACACGCAAAGTGTTTCTTGGCATGGGTTTCCACTGTACACAAAAGTCCTTCAATGAGGGTCGAGTGGCCAAGGTTCTCGACAGTACGGATTTCTTGGACATAATTTTGTTTGTTTTGGAGGCGGCCAGGGGGTCTGAACTAGTTGGGGCCCTCGAAGATCGGCCAAGAAGGGGGATGAGGCCAAGTCTGCTCAAACTCGGCCCCCGAACCCCTCCTGGGGCCCATCTGCTGCAGTGTTTCGCCCCGGATCCGCTCTTGCAAGAACCCTTCCCGAGCCCAGCGCCTCGAACCTGCCCGCCCTCCCGTGTGGCCAGAACCCATGCTGGACCACCTCAGACCCCCAGACGACGCCAACCTCCGTGCGCATCTGCCTCTGCGGAGGGCTCCTCGGTGCTCGCGACTCGGAAAAGACCCCTGGTCGTGAACTCTGTCGAGGTGTATGGCGCGAGAGCCGCCTGGAGGGATCGCTGTCCCAGCTCTTGGACGCCCGAATGATACGGGATACCTGCGGTTCGGGGCACCTCCGGTCTGGGCCCCCGAGGCGCGAACCCGTAGCTACCCCTGACTGCCCCCAGCCTCGATGATTCTGGAGGGTTGGACGCCCGAATTCTCCAGGATCACTTCGGTCCGGGGTGACTCTGGTCTGGGCCAGCGAGGCGCGAAGATGTGGCTACCCTTAGGTCGGGCAGGTCCCCCTACAGGCGGATCTTGGGCGAAGAATAAACAATACCCCCAAAAAACATCCAACGGAACAACAACTAAACATCGTCCGCAGACTATTGTTTAAACTAGTTTTGAATTTTCCTCCTCTAGAGGGACAGGCCCGACTTAAAGGCTACCCCTGGCTGCCCCCCGGCCCCGATGCCTCTGGAGGCTCTGACGCTCGGGCGGGAGCGGGGGGCGCGCCGCAGGGGAGGGGGCGACATCGACCTGGCGCGATGCATCGCTGCTAGATCGGCGACACAGTCAAACGGTAGAATGAGGATACGCGGTAAGGATGCAGGTAGGGAATCGATCGACCTCTGCACACCGACGATTCTTCCGGCCCTGCATTAGAGTTTGCACTGGAGAGCGGATCCTGGTGTATACGGGACCCTGGTGTATGCACTCTTCGTCGCTTCCCCGGGACATCGGGGAAAAAAGTATACACCACACCACCCCAGCGTCGTGCTCGACCCTCAAGAAATCGTGGGATTGAAAAACAGCCCGCCTCTGGTAATGTATATGTTCCAGTTTCCGAGCAAGGGCCTTGGAGTGCCACGTTGACGTTTTTCGAACGAGGCAGGCCAGCCAAAGCGGCCAAGGATGGGCCGATGAGGCAAGGATGCAAGGGTACCCTTGGGAAGGTTGCCCACCCTTACTATGCGGGTTGACTGTAGGCCCCCGATGATGAGTCCGCACGTTCCTGGGCGCAGACCCCATCGGCGATCAGTGGGCGATTGGGGGGTCGGTGCATCCCCCCAAAAAAAACTTCGGCGGCGAGTGATGGGGGGAAGCTGAGGAGGGGCGGGCCTTCGAAGAAGGCTCAGAAGTCCCCCGGCCTTCTGGGAAGTTTCCTGAGCCTCCCCCGAAGACACAGAAAACTTCTCAGCAGGCGCGAGTGCTTCGGAGAAGTCCCGCCGCCTTCTGAGAAGGCCTTCCCCTTCTCACTGCCTCCCTTCGCTGGCCGCCGACAGATGCCTATCCCCCCCTGCCGTTGCCCTGGAAGTGAGGGCACGCCGTGTCCTCACCGATGCATCGGCGATGCGTCCGCGACGTCGGCGACGCATCGGCGCCGTCGGCGTGGGGAAACAGGGCCTCCACATCGAGCCGCATCGGCGAGGCAGTCGGCGATGCGGCGCGACCCTCCGACCCCATTCACTCCGACCCCATCTTGGAGGCCTAGAAAACGCCTATCCCCCCCACTGTCGTTGCTCTGGAAGTTAGGGTTAAGTCGGGCAGGTCCCCCCTATAGGAGGAAAACTCAAAAATAGTCACAAAATCATCCGGGTCTGTTTGGGGTGTGCTTTATTTCTCGCCCCAAACCGGCCCGTATGGGGGAAACACGCCCGCCCCAAAGTCAGGGCACGCCGTGCCCCCGCCCCCCCCCCGAGCGGGGACGGCGAAGCCCCGGAGGCCGGGGCGCGCCGTCCGCGCGGTTGGCGGCGCCCGCGCGGGCCTCGGCGCCGCCCCGAGCTGCCGCTGGCCTGGCGCACCGCCTGCCGCGGCAGGGCGGGGGGGGGGAAAGCCGCTGCCGCCTATCTGTCCCTCGCTGCGCAGAGAAATACAACAACACACACACACACACTCAGAGAGGGAAAAGGTGCCCATGCCGTTACCCTTGCTTCGTGTTCCCCTTTCCGGGCCACCTGGGAGGCCCTCGTCGCCACCGCTGCATTCGCCCCGAAAGTCTGGTCAGAACGCACCCAGGGAGAGGTACGGGGAGTAGCGGTATCGGTACCTGTTGGTTGCTCCACGCACACACACACACATACACACTCGTCGCGGCCATGCTTGAAACGAACAGCATCGGTACCTGTTGGTTTCTCCACACACACACACACACACTGGTCTGATCGCAACGAAACATCCGAAAGGATGCTGTGCGCGGGTAGAAATCCGGCCACCCGGCGCCTCGGAAAACTCGGAGCGGCCGCTCGGTCGCCATGCCGGGAGCTCCTGGTACTCTGAAGGACATACTACAGTGAAGACTGAAACTAAGGAAGCGCGACAAGGATGCAAGCCCCTTGGGCGCCCGTGCTGAAGCTTATTCGAGCGCGGCCTCCATCGAAAGTAGTCAAGGATGGGCCGAAGAGTCAGGGATGCAAGGGTACCCTTGGGAAGGTTACCCATCCTTATCGTCGGTTTCGATTGTAATAATACTGCACGCGCGGGTTGGAGACGCACGTCCGACACGAACACGCTGTACACAAATCCAGTGGCAGATCGGTCCCGAGGAATATGGCCAGAAAGCGCCCGCCTCCGAACAGATACTATAAGACGGGGTCTCTAGCCGATCGATCTGGGCCGAAAAATGCCACAAAAAGATGGAATCTGGGGCTCCGACGGCGATCTCTACAAAGTTGCCTGCACTGCTGTTCCGTGACGTCGGATCTCAGGGATCCTGTATGGCCCCTGGGAGACCATTTCGACCCTGGCGAGGACGTAAAAGAGGCTCGGCATGAAAAGCCCGCCCGATGCCCAGAGAGGGCGGGAGCAAGGACGAGAGAGGCATTGCACAGCCGCTGAGGGTGGCCGGCCTCTGTACAGCACCTACTCTGGGAAGACAAGTCCGCTGTGGGTGGAGGACATCTCAGCATCCACCTCAGTGGTAGAAGACGAATCCAATCCAAATCCAATCTAAGTGTGAGAGGCCGACGACATTGCCGCCGGGCTGCGTCCTGGAGGTCTGTGCCTTGGACGAGGGCCAGAGGTGGAAAGAGAGAGGGAGATGCGGGAAGAGGAGGACGAGGAGAACGTCCAGAAGGGGGTCACGGGTGAATAGGTGGAAGAGCATGGGGAAGAGAGAGGGAGGGAGGGATCCCTACCCTCCTCACTCCTTCCCCTCGTTTTCTCGCACGGGCTGGATGATCTCCTCCAAAGCGCAGAGCTCGGTGAAGTGCGAGCCCAAACCTGAATGGAGCGGCGGTACTCTATGGATACAGAAGAGACATCGTCCCCTGAGGTAGGGGTGGGGCAGGTAGAAGAAGAGGTGAGGAGGGAGGACCAGGAAGAGGAGGTGCTCACGTGGCCACATCTGCCAGACTGCAGCCACCATAGGTCCACCCAGCGACCGTTGCCCATTAAGCGCCACGCTCAATGCTGATATAACTACTACGACTATGAATCCCACCAGCCCTTCAGGGAATGAATGGTTTAGAGCGCTGCCTCTTCAAACCCGCCCTCTTCCCGTTCGGGGGGAGGTTCACATCTCCGCCTGAACCCTTCCCTGCACCTGGACGATGGCCTTCGCGACCCATTGGAGCGTCCAAGAAGGCCTCGGCGAGAAGGCACTAACCTTGCCTCAAAGTTTTGGGACAACCTTGGCTTCCTAGGGGGGGAGGGCAACTGAAGTACCTCCCCTTCTTTGATCGAGCTTCTCCTAGATGGCCCCACCAAGAGTGCCCCAAGAGAAGAGGCGCCCAGGAGGCCCCAAGAGGCACCGAAGCAGTCTTCAAGAGGCTCTCAAGAAATCCGCAAAGAGGCCCCAAGAGGCTCCCCCGAGGCACCCAAGACGCTCTAAGAGGCCCCTGGGACCGCAAAGAGGTCCCAAAGACGAGCCAAAAGGACCCCGAGAAGCTCTCAAGAGACGTCCGAAGAGATCCCGAGGGACATCCAAGAGGCCTCTGGCCTTCCTGCTCGCCGTCCATTCCTGTTCCTTAGAAATAACTCCTCCCTGTCGCACCCCGAGGCCGGTCGAAAAGGCGGGACAAGGGTTTCGCCTGAGACCTCCTCACCACTTATGACCCTGAAGCTTGAAAGCTCAAATGGCTTCGTGGATGGATTGCGGGTGGTTCTCAAAATAAGGCTCGCGATTTAGCGCTGCGCGCATTCGTCTTCAAATCTTGCAACACCTTCGCGGATAGAGTGCTGGTCGTTTTCAATATGTAGCTCTCGCCTTAGCGCCGCGCGCGCTCGTCTTCAAACAAATGCAACGGTTTCACGGCTTGAGGACCGCTCCTTTCCGAAATGTGGCTCTCGCCTTTGCGTCGCGCACATTCGTTTTCAGAGTTCACAACTATTTCACTGACATTGTCACCATCCCCACATGTTGCTTGACGCGATGTCGGACTAGCCTGGCGCAAAGGGAACGCTGATTCGTGGTGTTGGAATACAAGGGATGGTGTTCTGGCACGACTCAGGATCGCCAAGACCCAGGAATGGTATTCTGGCGAAGTTCTGGATGTTCAAAGGGTTATCTTCCAACGGGGCACTTCCCCCAGAGGAAACGAATCCTTGAAGAGACCTACGACGAGGGAACTTGGAGGGAGGGTTTGATATACGATCGTTGAAGAATCTTGGGTTTACACTGGTCCTCCTCCTCCTCCTCCCCTTCCTCATCCGCTTTGTTCTCCTCGTCCGTCCTCCGTCCTCCCCCCCCCCTCCCCCTCCTACTCCTCCTCATCCGATTTCTCCTCCTTCCCCCCAGTACTTGGAGTACGATGGCTTCCCCATCGCCTTATTCTACTGCGTGTTTCTCCACATCCCTTATCAGGGCAACTCGCCTGGGAGTCGTTTCTGGATGGGCTGGTGGGGTTACGCGAAGCGTCTAGAATCAGAGATTCCTTATGCTACTGTGTTGGCAAGACAGCCTGTATAAGAACGACTGCCTCGTCGTACGCAAGTGGATTCCGACTCCCCATGGTCATACGAATGCGACTCCCACCGCGACTTCTACGACTGCCGTCGGAGCGGCCTCGGCTGCACGAGCCAGAATCACACCATCAAATTACAAAGGACCGAACGGCAATCGCTTCTCGGGGACAAGTCTGCACCACATTTCGCAAAATGGCGCCCATGCTTCCACATGCCCCTGGCACTCTCCACCCGAGGGTGTTCTTGCCACCAGCACCAAGCCTGGCCCTGCCCAAGCGTACCCTAGGCCTCCCGACAGAGCGAGGAACACCGAATCCCTGGCTCAAGGCGGGCCTACGGCAGGGGGCCACTGGCGCGGATAAGTGGCACGGGGCCCACTGGCGCGAGCGAGAGCTCGGCGAAGCGAAGCACGAGCCAGTCTTGGGCCAAAACTCCTACGGCAGGTTCGCGTCGTGACGGCTTCGGCTACGGTTTCTGACACCGCTTGGATCGTTCAAGCTTGAACGGTCGCGGCCTTTCGATACCGCGGATCGTTGGGTAACGATCCAAATCCCGACCCAATGGCGGCGTCCAATCGTCGAACGACCGCACAAGGGTCACCGCCGAGTCGGCACGACACGAACCTACCGCAGCCACTTTTGGTGCTGGTGCGCACTGGAGGACCAACAAAAAGATACCTTTGCCGCTGCTCCCTAGATCTCGCCTGGAACGCATTCTGGCCAGAGTCTCGAGGAGAATCAAGCCGTGGTGGCGAGGGCTCTCCAGGACGAGCAGAAGCATCAGTACCTCTTCCTCCTCTGACATTCCAGACCCCCCACAACGTCAATGTTGACCCCCAGAGGTCTCGACACCTTCCCTGGGACCGGCTTTGCATCTTGGGGCACGTTTGCTTTACGGTCCTGGGGCCCCGCGAGGTCCCCCAGAGTCCGAGCATGGCCAAAAACCGCCCGCCGTGGCGCGAGGAGGTCTGGGCAGCAGGCCGCGCCTCCTCCGAGAAATCCACCGCCACCACGGAGAACCCATCCGCGGCCATCCCGGGGGCCAGCGGCTTGTCACCGCACCCGAGCTCGAGGACGCGGCAGGGCGGCCTCGGGGGCGGGGACCGGTGGGAGCCGCACAGATAGACACTGAAAAAGAGAGGCCTTTGCCCGAAGCGCAAAGCACATATTTTGTTGAGCGTCCCACGCTCGCGAGCCTACCCCGGAGAACGCCCGCTATACAGTCGGATCTTGACCAGAAGAACATCCCTCAAGAGCATGACACCCTCCGTCGGCCAAAACACACAGAACGTGCAAGGGTACCCTCCCCAGGATGCTCAAAAACAGCGAACACGCACGAAGAACATTCGCATACCCTCTCCGAAGCGACCTCGATCTGATACCTCGGTCCCAACTGTACTCAAAGCGGTGGCAGGTTGCGACCAGTCTCATGGTCACGCCCCTGTCCCCAGAGCGGCGCCCCGAGCCGCTGCCGCATACAGGCTACTGCCAGGGAACGGCGACAGCTCGCAGGCCTTGCTCGCTCGGGACGGGGGCGGGATGCGCTAGCGTGCATTAGGAGGCAACTACTGGGAAATCTTCGTCGAAAAAGAACTGAAGCCCCATGGGAGGGCTGCCACGCCGGATTCGGCCGCGGATTCCGCGGGATTAACTAAGCCGGGTTAAGCGGAGCCGGATCGAGCGGGACTAAATCGACTTAGGCCGGATTTCGAACCAGGGCAAAATCAGAGTTTGACCTCCCAGGAGTTGCACCCAAACGTGGGGGGCAACGTTAGGGGGGGACCTGATCAGGAACTTGAACCATCTACTCATCGACGATGGATCGGCGACAGGCCTCCGATGGCAATTCCGAACGGTCTTGGGTGAGCATGTGCTCGCAACGTCGGATGTCAGGATCACGAGGCAATTCCTGGGAGATCTTTGTCAGAACGGTTAAAGACCATGAGGCCCGATTAAGAACGCCACTGGACTGGAGCAGGCCTGACTGAATCCGGGACTACGGTGGATTCAGCTGGACTAAACTAGATTAGCCGATGGCCTGCGAGATCCCGCTCCTCATCACGCGGCACACGACCCAGTCCGATACGTTCGTCGAAGTGGAAAGCGGCTGGTGGTAAGCGGCTACGCACATAGCCCCGTGCCCCTGCTCTTGAGCCGAGCCCTACACACCGCCACGCTGGTCCTGGGCAGGCTGTGCTGCCCTGCAGAAAGGGAGGGGAGAAGCAGGCAGACAACGACGAACACACACGCAGGCGGGAGGACAGGGCCGGCGGGGCGGGCGAGCACGCGGAAAAGGGGCCGGGCGGAGACAGCAGGCAAAGCAGGAGGAAACGAAAGGGAGGGAGGCAAGGAAGAGGAAAAGAAGGGGAGCAACCTTGAGCACTCAGGCCAAGCCAGGGGCAGGGAGAGAAGGGCCACCCGCGACGAGACTGCAGACCCTGTGGCGGCGACGCCGATCAGGCGGCGCAGGCGTAGCGATGGAGTGGGCGGCGGGCGCGGGGGGGGCAGATCGTTTGCAGTCGTCGGGAAAGGCCGTCGGGATCGCCGAGGGGCGGCGTGGGGTGGCCGCAGCACGCTGCTGTTTGGCGGGGGGAGCCCTCTGCAGGATCACCCACCGCCCCGCAGGGGAAGGGCCGGACGGCGTGCCCGGGGGTGGGGGGGCGAGGAGACGCCAGCGCGACGCTGACGGAAGGGCGCGGGGGGCACCCGCGCCACCCAACAAGGTGGGGGGGGGGGCGGGGGGCGGCAGCGCTGGGGATGCTTCGCACGGCGTCCGCCGTGGAGGCGGCCGCGGCCACGGCCCGACTGGCCGCTGCCCCCCCCGCCCTCCCAGAATGCGCCGAGAGGCGCCGCAACACTGCCCGCGCGTTCTCCCTGCGCACGGAAACGGGGAATCGCCAGGCGTGCTGGTCCGCAACCACTGCGGAGTTTTCCCCCGTGGCGTCAGTCACCCGTGGCAAGGACCTCGAAGGCCCTGCGTGCCTCGCAGCCCCACCCGCCGCCGTGAGTTGCCACCACCATGGGGAGGAAGGTGAAGCCATGCGCCGCGCAAAACGCAGCGGTGTCCTGGCTGTTCCTTTTGAACTCCTCGTGCCGCTCAATCGCCGCGCTCGGCGAAACGGCCGACGCGGCGAGGAGAGCGGCGTGCAGCCCAGACGTGGCGGCAAAGTCCCAAGGGGCCGCCGTGGCGTGGCACCATCGTGGAAGGTAGACGTTGGCAGGGCGGCGGCCAGCGTCGTCCACCAGGGACCCGCCCTGCTCGCCCCCAGGGGTGGCCTCCCCAGCGGGGCGCGGGGGTAGCAGCCCATGGCGTTCCAACTCCGCCCCCGCGTGGCCAGCGGCCACGGCATCGAAAAAGGCCTGGTTGCGCAGGGCGTTGCGGCGCTTGGTCTGGACGCCGCGGCAGGCGCAGATCAAGACGCGGTCGTAGAAGATGTCCATCACCTCGCCACAGGCTGGGCCAAAGCATTCATCTCGCCGGAGCTGGGCTCGCAGCCGCATTTGCAGGCCGACCTGCACGAGGCCGTGCGGGAAGGCGGCGCTGGTGGCCTCGCAGGGCGGGGCCTGGAGCCACGCGGCAGCGCCCAGGGCCTGCACCAGGGAGACGTGCTCCAAGCCTGCCAGGGTGGCACACGCCAGAAGCCTGTTGAGCGCGGCGCCGTCCACCGCGTCGGAAAGGGTGTTCTGGTCGCGGTGCTGCGCGTGGTCGAACAGCACCTGGTCGGCGTCCTGCACGACTGCGTCGCGGGCCTGCTCGCAAACCGCCAAGCTTCCCCCGTCACGGTCGGCACCATATTGATGGGGATCGAGTTGGATCAGGAAGGGTGAAGCCAGATCAAACCAGCTTGTGACTAGGGATATACCAGCGCCGAATCAGCATTTAACCGCCCAGGAAGTGCATCCTATGCTTTGCTCGTTGGAGACGAAGGCGGGATGTGTCAACGTGAGTTCCCTGAGATCTGGGCGAAGTGTTTTTCCCACAGGCGTGTTTTCCCCCGGTGTCGATCTCAAGGGCCATCACAAATCGTTCCAGCTCAAAAAACACAAGAAGTTGAGGTCTAGGCTCCATTCGTGAATGCCTGCGACGACTTGGTTTCGCAACGTCGGATATCAGAAATCGGAGCCAACTTCTGAAAGGTCTTCGCGAGAAAGATAAAGGGCGACTAAACCCGACTAAGGGGGCACTTAATCGGATTAGCCAGATAACAAGCCCAGGATCAAGCAAGGAGTAAGGGCGATGAGTCGGGACTACGCTGGAATAAGCTGGAACGTGCGGCATTAGCAAAACCCTCGGTACGGAATTTCAGCGCCAATGCTGACTTTCACCGTTCAGAAGCTGCATACCAATGTGAAGGCAACAGGCATTCAAGGAAAGGGGCTCTCCAGAAGTTTGCCGTTGCGCTCAGAAACCTTCGGGGGGCTCCACGGCGCCCCGTGGCCTTCAGGAGATGACTCGGGAGGAAGAGCTGGTCCTGGGGAAAGGTCCGGGGTCTCATAGGGCCCGTGTCCCTCGGAACGGAGGATGAGGAGGAGGAGGTGGAGGGTACCCAGAGGAAGAGGAGGACGAGGAGGAGGAGGAGGAGGAGGGTGAGGAGGAAGAGGAGGGGGAGGAGGAGGAAGAGGTAGAGGAGGAGGAGAATGAGGAGACTGATGAGGAGAGGAGGGGGAGGAGGAGGATGAGAAGGAGGAGGAGGAGGAGGAGGTGGAGCGTTTGTTTGTTTGCTTCTTTCCCGCGCAAGCACCCATCTGCAAAATCCCCTGCTCCCACTGCGTATCGATTCCGCTTCGGGGCTACAACCGCTCCGACTGAAGAGTCGCTGGAGCTCACCTGGAGGAGAAGGACGTGGAGCGTATCTGGAGGAGGAGGTGGTGAAGCGTGCCCAGAAGAGGAGGCCTCGTGGCTCCGGAGACCAGTCCAGGGGCTGACTCGGGAGATTGCGCGGGGGCAGGGCGGCCGAATCTTCCGAAGCGGGCCCGAGGAGTGGCCAGGGCGAGCTGCGCGCGCAGGCCCGAGTGCTGCACGATCTGCGGAGCAGTCGCCTGCTTTGCCAGGACCTCCTCCTCCTCCTCCTCCCCCTTCTCATTGTCCTCCTCCTCATCCTTCTCCTCCTCCGCCTTCTCCTCCTCCTACTCCGTCTCCTTCCCTCTCATTCTCCTGACGGGTCTATGTTCTCTTCGCCTCGTTAAAAAAGGCACGCTGCACCCCCTCCTCTTCCTCTTCCTCCTCCTCCTCCTCCTCCTCCTCCTCCTCCTCCTCCTCCTCCTCCTCCTCCCTCTCCTCCTCCTCCTCCTCCTCCTCCTCCTCCTCCTCCTCCTCCTCCTCCTCCTCATCATCATCAAGTATACGCGTGGAAGGTGGAAGAGAAGTACGAGTCGGGTGATCAGAGCGTCGCACAGCTTCGCAGGCACAGGTCCCAGGCGCACCAGGCAGGGTTTCCGCTGGGAGATGGTCGGCCCCGTGAGCCGGCACGAGCTCCCAAAGCACCCTCCGCAGCGGACGCAGTGCGCTTGGCCGTCGCACTTGTCGGGGCACGCAATCAGACAGGGCTCGGTGGCCACAGGAAGCCTGTGCGAAGTGGTCCACGAGGACAGGAGAGTCTCCCTAGAAACGGCTGAGCTTCTCTTAGGGGCATGGCCAAGCCGAGGGCGCATCTACTGAACGGAGTTCTCGGGGGGGGGGGGGCATCCACATCGAGGGCCCCGCGAGCAATGCTGCTGGGGCGGGGACACCGGGGAAGAGGCGGAGACGCAGGAGCGTAGCTGAAGGGGAAGGAGGAGGAGGAGGAGGAGGAGGAAGAGGAGGATGAGAGGGAGGAGGAGGAGGAGGAGGAGGAGGAGGAAAAGGATGAGGAGGGGGTGGAGCGTGACTTGTTTGACGAAGGTGAGGAGAAGATAGAACCGTCAGGAGAATGAGAGGGGAAAAGGCGGAGGAGGAGGAGGAGAAAGAGGAGGAGGAGGAGGAGGAGGAGAAGAGGGAGGAGGAGCAGAAGGAGGAGGAGAAGGATGAGGAGGAGGAGAGAAAGAGGAGGAGGACCCTTCCCCTTCATGGCAAATGTGCAACCCTTCAGAGCGCGTTCGCGGGGGGCGTTGGAGGGGCCCTGCGAGTCCGGCCGCGGAGCGCGCGAAGACAGCCAGCGTGCTGCCATAGGACACGCCAAGGAAGGAAGGTAGGGACATGTCTTGCCACGGCGAGCCCCGGCCACGTGAAGGCTCCGAACCCTGGGAACGGCACGGAAACCACAGAGCCCGTCCCTCCAGAGCTCAAGGTGGTCCTTGTTTCTAGAGGCCTCCTAGATGGGGTCCGAGTAGATGGGGTCGAAGGATCGCGCCGCATCGCCAATGCATCGCCGATGCATCGGCGATGCATCGGCGACGTCGGCGTGGGGAAACACAGCCTCCACATCGAGCCGCATCGCCGATGCATCGGCGATGCAGCGCGATCCTCCGACCCCATGTGCTCCGACCCCATCTAGGAGGCCTAGAGTCTCAGAATCTTGACTGCAAGTGGCCAGGGGCCCACCGGCGAGCGCGAGAGCTCGGCGGAGCGCAGCGCGAGCCGCCGGTCTTGGGCCAAAACTCCTGCCGCGGACTCGTGTCGTGAGGACCTCGGCGCTGGTTTCGGACACCGCGTGGATCGTTCAAGCTGGCACGGTCGGCGCTTCCCGATCGCCAGATCGTTCCGCATCGGCCGATCCTGCGCCAACGGCAACGCTCGAACGCGGACGCCCGCGCCAGGATCGCCGCCGCGCCGACACGACATGAGCCCGCCGCAGAGCGCCGGACCTCGCGCGCCGCGCCCGCGACACGCGATCCTATTCGCGTTATGTCGGGCCTGTCCCCCTACAGGGGGATTTTCGACAAAAATAAAAAATACCCCCAAAATACCCCAAAATGGTCAAAAAGTACACCAAAAATCGTCCCCAGACTATCTTTGCAGCATTTTGTGATTATTTTTGGGGCATCTTTGATTTTTCGTCGAAAAGCTCTCCCTGTCGGGGGGCAGGCCCGACTTAGTCTTCGCGCCGTCGCGCCCCAGCGCTGGCTGGCCCCGCCGGCGCAGGGCGGCCGCTCCGGCCCAGGAGACCGCCCCTACGCCCTGCAAGACGGCCCTGAAACGCCCTCGGAGCATCCCAAATCGGCCCAGAGAGACCCCGGTACGGCTTCCGACGGCGTCCACAGGGCCAAGAACGCCCTCAGACGGCCAAAGAGCATCCCAAGGATTTGGACGCCCGAAATGGGTACGGAAAGAATGGGTACAATGCCCAACAACAAATGTTGTCCCAAACCAACAGCGGCCGCTGTTGGGCGGGCGGCCTCCTGTCTCGAATGGACACAGGCCGCGGCGGCGCGGACAGCGAGTCCTGTTCAGAACGAACAAGAACTGCTGTTGGGCATCGTACCCATTCTTTCCGTGCCCATTTCGGGCGTCCAGAAAGGAGGCACGAGGCCCCGCCGGCGAAGGGCGGCCGCTCCGGCCCAGGCCGCCGGTGCGCGGCGCGCGCGAGCACCGCGGGAGGCCCCCGCGGGCGGCCGCGCGCGCCGCGCGCTCCGGGCGTGCGCAGAGCGGCCCGCTCTAAGGATAACCGTGGCCCCAAAAGTGCTGGCGCCTCCCTGGAAGAAGAAGAAGAAGAGGAAGAGGAGCAAGAAGAAGAGGAAGAGGAATAATAATAAGAAGAAGAAGAGGAAGAAGAGGAAGAAGAGGAAGAGGAAGAAGAAGACGAGGAAGAAGAAGAAGAAGAGGAAGGAGAATAATAATAAGACCTGGACGAATAATAATAATAATAAGAAGACAAGGAGGAAGAAGAAGAAGAAGAGGAAGAAGAAGAAGAAGAAGAGGAAGAGGAAGAGGAGGAAGAAGAAGAACAGAACGGCAGAAGCATAAACGGTCGGCGCTCCGCGCGGACTCCTTGGATCTGCGTTGGACCCCCCCTCCCTGGCGCGCCAGGGCGCGCCAGGGGCGGCGCTGGAGGCGCCGCCGGGGGGGGCCCACCCCGGATCTCAGAAATCCGCGCGGAGCGCCAAAAGCTTACGTCTATGCCGTCTTTCTTACGAGGGCTCCAAACAATACACCACCACCAGCCCTGGCCAGGCCCACCCTGGGCCCTGCACTGGTGTACAGGCCCTCCTGGCCCAGGCCTGGAGGTCTATACACCAGTCCAGGGCCCAGGATGGACCTGGCCGAGGCTGGTGGTGGTGTACAGTCGGAGCGTTGACCCAAGGAACCCTAAATAAGGAACCAGGCCCCTTTCATCCACAAGTTGAACTTCGACTTCCCATCGAAAACCCAAGGAAAACCCAAGGCAAACTGTGAAGCAGTCTAGGAACACGGAGCCCCTCCTCAACGAAAAGGGTTCCTTCTTCAGGGCCCCGACTGTATCGTTGGCATCCCCCCGATCTCTCTTCCATCACTGTGGGGTCCGCCGCCGTCCACGACATCGCGACGACCGCGGGCGGTGCTCTCGCGAGCCTCCACAGGCTTCCGCCGGCGGGGCCGGCGCCTCTCTGCGTCGCCTGGCTTCCGCTGGCCTTCCGCCGGCGTCCGCGCCCCAGGAGAGGCCCTGTTGCTGGGGCGCGCGGGGTGTCGGCCTCCGGCCTGCACCCTCCCAAAATGGCAGGCTGGGCGAGGAGACGGCGTACCAGGGCACGTGCTGACGACTGCTTGTCGGGCGAAGCAAGTGTCCATGATCGTAATCCTTTTGGGTACCACCATTGTCTTGTAATCTGCCTCCTCCTCCTCGTCGTCGTCAATCGTCGTCGTCACCATTACCACCGTAACAAACATCCTCACCGTCATCATCACCATCATCACCATGAACGTTGACGTAATCATCCTAAGTACGTCGTCATCGTCACCGCTGTCACAAACATCGTTATCGTCATCGCCATCAGTATCATCATCAGCATCATCACCTTACTCATCATCATCATATCGGCATCATCATTATCATCATCGTCATCAGCATCATCATCGTCGTCATCATCGTTGTCATCATCACCACCATCACCATCACCATCCTTATCATCACCATCATCATCCATCAGCATCATCATCATCGTCATCATCACCGGCATCGTCATCATCATCATCATCATTACAACCACCACCAGCATTACGGCCATCGATACTACCATCGTCGTACTCAGCATACCCCCCTCGGCATTCTCATCACCATCACAATCATGATCCTGATTGTCACCATGACTATCAACAACACTATCGCCACCACCATCAGCATCACGCAACCATCATCACATCACCATCACCATCACCATCACCATCACCATCATCATCATCATCATCATCATCATCATCATCACACGCATCACCACCATCACCATCACTAACACCACCATCATCATCACCATCACGATCATCACCATCATCATCATCATCATCATCATCATCATCATCATCATCATCCTTATCATCATCACAATCATCATCATCATCATCATCATCATCATCATCATCATCATCATCATCATCATCGCTTTCAGCATCATCATCATCATCATCATCATCATCATCATCATCATCATCATCATCATCATCATCTTCAACATCAAAAACAGCCTCAGTAGCATCATCATCCTCATCAGCATCATCAGCAGCAGCATCACCATCACCATCATCACCTCCATCCTCCTCATCATCACCATCAACAACATCATCATCAACATCAACATCATTATCATCTGGAGCGGGCGCGGCGTCGCCTTAGCGCAGCCTCTCCCAGCGGGCTGTCCGGGCCGCACACCTTCGCAGGTACCAGGGGAGGCCGCAGCGGCAGAGGGGGAGGGAGGCATGGCGAGGCATCCCAACGCATGAAGCATGACGGCGGTGTGTTGTCCAGAGTTTCGGCCCTGCGAGGCTCTGGGGGGCCATCAAACAACGACTCGGTTAAGAGCTTGCCCCTTGGGAAAGGGCTGGGACTTTGGGGGGGGCTTGAACGGAAAAAGCCATACATCGGACGTGTGCGACGAGGGAGGGGGGACCCAGGGGAAGGAGGGAGGGTGGCGCGGACGGGGGGGAGGAGCTGGCGGGCTCCAGGGAGGCCAAATAGGAATAGGCCGACCCGACCCTATTCCGAACCTCGGGGAACCCCGTCCCGGGGCGGTCCTGCTGGGCGATCGCGCCCGGCCGCAGCAGCGCGGCCACCGTGGGCCCGCCGCGGCGCGCAGCCCAGCGCAGGCGGGCTCGCGCCAGTTGGCGGAGCTCCGTGGCGGACCGTTCCCGCTTTCGCGAGGCACAGCGTAGACAGAAGGCGAGAGCGTGGATGAGGCCAACAGGGAGCAGGGCGGGGACGGCCAGAGGACCGAGCGGAGAGCCGAGAAGGCGACACGAGGCAGGGGCGGACAGGAAGGAGGGGGGGAGAAAGGGAAGAGCAGGGAACAACAGATCAGGAACAGGACCGGAAAAGTAGTGTGAAATACCGCCCCCCCCCCACAGCGTATGTACACCACTTACACCTAAGCGTGGGCTCTCGAAACCTCCTGGGGGTGCACCAGCCATGGCACAGAGCCCTCAACACTGCCATGAAAACCCGGGGAGTGGGAGGCCCACGCTGCCCGAGCCTACGAAGATACATCACACAAACATCGATCTGTGCAGCCGACGGTACGGACGGGGGGGAGGCGGCGGCGGTGGCGGCGAAACGGTGCCGAGCCGAAGGCCTACAAAACTCGACTCACATCAATCATCCGAGATCTACTCAGAAGATTGCGAGTACCACGCGCGTCGGACGACGTCGGGTGGAAGATGGCCCCACAGCGGGAGCCCCGAGTGATCCTCGCTCTACCTCGGCTCCAGAGCTCGGACACGAGTTAGCGGACCAAAGCCCCAAAAAAAAACGAAGCCCCACGGTCCAGGGCGGCCCCAGGTCCAGGGCGGCACCAAGGTCCAGGTCCGAGGGCCTACCGAGTGAACATTGACCAGGTCCTGAGGAGGAGGAGGAGGAGGAGGAGGAGGAGGAGGAGGAGGAGGAGAAGGGCGAGAAGAGGGCGGAGCAGGGGTAGAGAAGGGGAGGAGCGGAGGAAGAGGAGGGATGGCAGCAAGGTGGGGGGAGCGGGAAGCTGTGGCGGGGGGGGGGCACACTACCGAGGTTCACGCTGTAGACCTTGGGGCCAGGCCCAGATGGGCGAACCAAGATGCTGCCTCGCGGCCATGACCTGAACCTGCCCCACCCGTGGCCGCGGGTGTCATTACAAGAAGGCCGCTGGGGAATGGTAACACAACTAGGCGCGGCCTGCGGGGAACACTCCAGTGAGCATGATTAGGGTGCCGCGTGTGGGAGGGAGCAAATCTAAGCGCATCAGCCAGTGCTACGGGGACTTCTGCTCAGACGCCCAAAGTCATGTCTTGTTCCAAAAAACATGGACCCCCCCCAGAGGTATCGACCCATTTCCCCAGAGCCTTCATTTCATCTGGAGTCGTTTGTTTAACGGGCCCCGAGGCCCAGCGAGGGCCCTGCTTTTTGTCACGGCGCGAGGGGGTCTGGGGGGAAACCCCTGTAGGCCCGCACCAGAGGTCACTCTGGCGAAGGGTAACTTCGAACGCGTAGCCGAAAGGGGGTAGGCGCCGCCGTGCCTGGTGCCACAGCGCCGGCCACGCAGCCTCGGCACGTCGTCGTCGTGCTCCTCGCCGCCATCGGTCACCTCTTGCTCCCTTCCCGCTCCCCTCCTCGTTTTCATCCGTCTCCGCCTCGTCCTCGTTGTCCTCCTCCCCCGCCCTCTTCCTGCTGCCTCTCCCCCCCCTCCTGGTCTTGCTCCTGCTGATTCGCCCCATCCCTGATCCTCCTGAAGGTTCACTTCCTCCTCCACCTCCTCCCGTCCTCCTCCTTGTCCTATCCCTCCTCCTGTGCGTCCACAGTACAGTTTCAAAGAATTGGTTAGCATGTTTACAACGTAGTTTTCTCCTGGCCTCTGAGAGGCTGTTGAGCTGTTTAGTGAAGTTTCCTTGTGAAGCTCTGCGAGTGTGTCTAGTTTCCTTTCGGGCCCGTGCTCTGTGAAGCTACGGTAGGGCGGGGCCCCTCATACACCTGAGTTGTTCACTCGGCCTCGGGGAGGCCGTTGAGTTTGAGTTTAGTCGTCAGTTTCCTGAGCTTGCGAAGTTTGCGAATCCTTCGGTTTCGTTTGATGGTCCGAGCTCTGTGAAGTTGTGGTCGAGCGAGGTCCACTCGTGGCTCCCGCTGTGTGGCCATCCTCTATCCGCGTCTCGACGCGCACGGTAGGTCGCAACCGCCCGAGATGAGTTCGGATGGTTGATTTACGTCGAGTGGCATCGACCTTCGGCCCGACACCGTATCGCCGCCGCCGCCTCCTGCTTCTCCACCTCCTCATCATCATACTCCTACTCTTTTTCCTCCTCCCCTCCTCCTCCTCCTCCCCTCCCCCTCCTCCTCCTCCTCCTCCTCCTCCTCCTCCCTCCTCCTCCTCCTCCTCCTCCTCCTCCTCCTCCTCCTCCTTCCTCTCCTCCTCCTCTCCTCCTCCTCCTCCTCCTCCTCCTCCTCCTCCTCCTCCTCCTCATCCTCCTCCTCCTCTCATTATCCTGATGGTTATTTGTTATCCTCATCTTCACCTTCTTCCAGAACATGTTGCTGAGAGACCTTCTCGTGCTCTTCCGCCGCCTTGACCTGGTCTCCGTCCTCCTCTCCGTATTCGTCCTGGTCGTTGTCGTCGTTGTCGTCGTCATATCTGTGATCCTCCGTCCCATCCTCCTCCTTACAATGCATTGCCACCATGTCCGGCCCAGGTGGCATCGAAGACATGTCTGCAGCCAGAAAGCAGGCGACAACGAATGAAACATATCCAAGCGCGCTCCAAGAAAGACATGTCTTGAAAAATTGCGTCGCCGCGGCGCAAACGGGGAAAGTCTCCACATCTCTGGCTACGCATGGTCACAAGTTTAGAGACCCCTGTTGCAGAGGAGCGCTCTTCTTCAGGTTGTCAGTGGCATGCTGCACAAGTTCTTTAGAAGGCTGTCGATGGCTGCCCTTGGAGGCTTTCGATGGCTGCATTCAGCCCTCCAAACTCAGTCTCTAAAACAGGCGTTGGGTAAGCAACATCCTTGCAGATCTCCCGTGTATGCCAATAGCTGCACCTCGTCAGCTTAAGCCGCGCCCATCACAGACACCCATGCAAGAGAAAGGCCGCTGTGAAGGGCAAACACAAAGTCACAGCCAATGCGCGCGTCGATTTAAGAATCGCCCTGCAAAAGGCACACAAGAACGAAAGCGGACAGTTGACCGCGTTTGGCACCGGACAAAATCTGATGCCACCAGCGCTCTGGGCGTAGGTGGTCTATGGAGCTTCCTCTTCCAACCCCTGTCTTCCCCTTCTGGGAGGGGTTTATCACTGTTCCCTCTTAATATACACCCCCTCCCTCAGGCGACCGGTAGCCAACCAGGAACCATGCGGCCCCCCCTCACGCCACCCCTGACAAAGAAACAATACAAAACGCACTCTGCGTCCACGTTTGGAGCTTGCGCGGCCAAGACGATGCGCCCTACCCACCATCCCTTTCAAAACACATTACAAAACATACTTTGGGACAAAGTCTTGAGTCATGTTCGTGAGGCGCGCGAGTGTTTTGTGTTGTTTTTGACAGAGACGGCGGGGGTGTCAGCATATTGCCTGCTGCGCGCAGGGCTACCACCACGAACCAAAAGAACTACAACATGCACCTCGCGGCTAAATCTGGATCATGCGCGGCCACCCCGCGATCACTGTCAAGTGGTTTTGACAGGGACGGCGGGGGTGATGGCGTATGGCCTGCTGTGCGCAGGCCCACCAGACACAATGATGGGCATTGCTTTTCGACAAGGATGGTGGGGGCCGACATGTTTCCCGATGTGTGCTGTCACGTGCGCAGGCGCACCTGATACACTCTGCACGTGCCTCGAATGGGGCGCACCTGGCGTGGCTGGAGCATGCGGCACATCTGGCGAACGCGGAGCACGTGGCGCATCTGGCGCACCAGGCGTGCCTGGCGCGCTCGGGTCCCAGGGGTGTCTGGCACACGTGGCGCGCCTGGCACGCGTGGCGCACCTCGCCCCAGCGTCGCGCACATGGTATCGGTTTTAAGTTCCCAGTGGCTGCCCATCCAAAGACCCAAAGACGACCGCTGAACATGCTGAGGCTCGGATGATACTTATGTGTTGGTAGGGCCGGTGGGAGTCAGCTAGACGGATTGCTATCTACGGGGTGTCCTGACCCCTCCCACTACCCCATCCCCTGGACCTGGACGGGGGCAGTCGCAAAGTGTCAGAAGGTACTTGTTCGCCCAAGACGGCTCCAAGAGCGCCTCAGAGAGCCCAAGATGACCTTCAAGATGGCTAAAGATAGCCCAAGATGTCTCAAGATGGCTTCCAAGATGCTCCAAGAGGCCCCAAGACCGCCCGCCCCAGGACGGCTCCAAGTGGCCAAAGAGTTCCCCGAGGAGGCCCCGAAAAGACCAAAATCCTTCCCAAACATAAGAAATCCATTAGCCGCCGAGCCGCCGAGCCGCCGAACGCCACCGAGCGCGCGGCGTACCACTCGGAGCCCTGGCCGGTCGCGTAGCGCTGCTCCCAGTACTCCCGCTCGGAAGCCGGCGCGCCCCCACGGGCGGGGCAGGGGCTGCACGTCGCGGCGGAGGAAGAGGAGGAGGAGGAGGAGGAGGAGGAGGAGGAGGAAGAGGAGGACGTGGAGGAGGAGAAGGAGGAGAAGGAAGAAGAGGAGGAGGAGGAGGAGAAGGAGGAGCTGGAGGAGGAGGAGGAGGAGGAGGAAGAGGAGGAGGAGGAGTACAGTGAGGAGGAGGAGGAGGAGGAGGAGGAGGAAGAGGAGGAGGAGGAGGAGGAGGGTAGAGGGGGAGGAGGAGGAGGAGGAGGAGGAGGAGAGGAGGAGGAGGAGGAGAGGAAGGGAGGAGGAGGAGGAAGAGGAGGAGGAGGAGAGGAGGAGGCAGGGGGGAGGACGAGAGGAGAAGGAGGGGAGGAGGAGGAGGAGGAGGAGGACTCAAGAGGAGGAGGAGGAAGGAAGAGGAGGAGGAGGAGGGACGAGGAGGAGGAGGAGGAGATAGAGGAGGTGGGGGGAGGAGGAGGCGGGGGGGAGGCTATATCCAGAGGAGACTGCAACCACCAGGAACCAGGAACCAGGAACCAGGACGAGGAGGAGGAGGAGGAGGAGGAGGAGGAGGGGGAGGGGCGGCTGCAGGGCTCCACGTCGCGAAAGCGCGGGCTGAAAGGGCCCAGGGGCGGACAAATAGACAGAGACACAAATCCCAGGATCCCCCCTGCATCTTCCAGGACTTCCACATTTTCTGGATGCTCGTCTTCCCCTCCTCTTCCCATAGGTCCCACATTTTCCGGGGCATCGGCAATTATTGGTGTTTGTGTGCTTCTTCCTTCCTGGCGGACGTTGGCAAGGCCGGCCTTAGTACCACCTGATTCAGCGGTGTGTGCCATGTGCCATATGAGCGAAGAAAAGAAGCGTGTCTTACGCGAGACGACGTAGCGACCGGACGCGGTGGCTTTCGCGGACCGCCAGCGCGACACTCCACATTGGAGACGAGGACGTTTGCGCGCGACCTTACGCAGGCAACTTGCGCGCCAATGTCGGCGAAGGCGACCCCGTTGTGTTGAGTCGCTCATTTCTCGAGCGCGAAAGATACCCGTACCCTTACCCAGGCGGGGTGGCAAGGGAAGGGGGGAGCGACACGCCGCAGCCGACGGCGGTTGCACAAAGGCAGATGCGACGGCCCATGGAGCATTACAGGACGCTGTCTTCTCCGGGCACCCGCTGGCACCGAAGGTGCGCGCGTTCCAATCGGCAGAGTGGCCGACCACGCATTGGCCGCTCTCGGGCTGGAGCAGCTCGTTCGGAGGTGCGCCCACGAAGGCGCACAAAGAAGCGTTTGGGGCTCGACGCGCAAAATGCGTCCTGGGTGTCCTGGGTGTCCTGGGCGGGTGCCGCTGCAATCCCGCGCTCGCCCCAAACGCCTGGGGCCCCGAACGCCAAGCGAAGTCGCCAGGGTCTGCTCCCTGGAAAACCCGCCTGACGTCACCCCAGCTAGGTCCGGGCACGCGTCGGGGGGCACAGTCGCCGACGCGCGTTGATGGTGCCCCCAGACACGTACCCGTACCTAGTCGAGGTGGCGTTTGGTCGAAATCGCTCTCGGGCGCACGCGCGGCCCCCGGGAGCGCCCCCGAACGCGGCCGCAGCGGACCCTGGGGGAGCGTGAGATTGCAACGACGCTCCTGCGGGCAGACCCCAACGCAACGGAGTGGTGGTGATTGTCCCCAAATGGGACAGGCACCACCACTCCAATGCGGTTCTCAACCCCGCGGACACCCCCGATGCCCCCAGACGTCCCTGACGCAAACCAGGGCATGTCGCTGCAATCAAACAACCAGCCGTTCAGCGTGTCGTTGCGTCCTGACGCGCGGATGCTGAAACAGCGCGCACGCGGCAGGCTGATCGGGCGCAGCGGCAAGCGCCCATCCCAGCGGACGGCCCTTTTCACCCAGGCCGACCCCGGGTAAGGGTATGTTTAGGACCAATGCTCATTTGCTAGATAGATTCCTCAAGTCTTCTGTCACCTCAAGCGGTGTGCGCCCACGGCAGGAACAGGGCAGAGCCACCGTAAGCCGTGGCACTGACCGTGTAGCTCCGAACACGTGTCAAATGATCTAGCGAGCAAGAGCGCAACAAAGCCCCAGGACAGCGAGGCGTTGACAGTGTAGCTCAGCATCAGCAGTGGCCGGGGAGCCACCGCGACGTGTCTACGAGCGTGTGCCGCGGCTCCCCGCCTCACTCCACGAACCCGAGCTGCCGCAACCCGAAGGAACACCAGCTGAGGCAGATCTGGTTTGGTGATTCTAGCTACAGTGGAGGCCAGTCCACCAGAAACCTTCCACAAGAAACCCAACCCTGAGACCCCAGGACGTCCATCGATTCTCGGCGAGGGAACGTCACGCTGTCCATGGCAAGACCATCGAAACCCAAGAAACCAAGGGCACCCCGGAGGCAAGCAGGGTGTGTCTTGGCATGGGTCTCCACTGTAGTGTCTTGAGCCTCGGGGCCCAATCCCTCACTGGCTCCCCTTCACCGGGCCATGTCCGAATGGCGTCGGTGCTGGACTCTGACACCGCGCGGATCTCGCTCGGCCTCGCACGATCGCAACCCACGCGGGCGCACAGGGCAGGAGCCGCGCCCGTCCAGCGGGCGGGCGCGCCAGGTGCGTCCGCCCCCCTGACCGACCGGGGGCGCAGACGCCGGGCCGAGCGCCACGCGGCGACGAAGCGTCACCGCCACCACGCGCTCGGGGCTCGAGGCACGGCCGACGGACAAAATCGAAGGGGCCTTGGGACACACAAATAAATTATCCCAGTGCGACCCTACCTAGGAGTTGGAGCCTCTAGGAAAGCAAGATTAGTAGGAGCGGTAAACGCCGTCCTCCTCCGTCTCCTCATATAGCAGCAGCAATAGTGGATGCTGTGCTGCGCTATGCTATGCTATGCTATGTTATGCTATGCTATGCTATGCTGCGCAATGCTATGCTGGGCTAGGCTAGGCTAGGCTATGCTATGCTATGCTATGCTGTGCTATGCCGCGCTATGCTATGCTGCGCTATGCTATGCTATGCTATGCTATGCTGTGCTGTGCTGTGCTGTGCTGTGCTGTGCTGTGCTGTGCTGTGCTATGCTATGCTATGCTATGCGTTTGCTTTGCCTTCGCTTTTGCCTTTACGTTTGCCTTTGCGTTTGCTTTTGCTTGGCACCCAGTGAGCACAACTGGGGGAACCGCGCGTTTGCTTTTACCTTTGCTGTTGCTTTTGCTTGGCTCCCAGGGGACTGGGGGAACCGCCCGGGGCGCGTTCCACTGCCCGGCCCCTTTAAGCTAAGAGAGTAAGAACCCTTCTAGGCAGAGCCTAGGTAGGGAATACACACAAACAAAAGGATTCCCCATATTTCCCCATATGTTCTGGATGTCTTCCCCCCCACTGCCCATATTTCCCCACATTTTCCTGGGAGTCGACGATTCATTGAGTCTGTGTGTGTTTTTTCCCCTCCTGAAAAATCCTGCACCTTTGTATGCGGGTTGCTCCGAGCACCCCCCGCGCACCTTCCAATCTCACATTGTGGCCGGGCCGCGCCTCGAGGTGTCGAGCCGTCGAGGGGCCGAAACAAGTCCTGCGCCCCGCCGGAGATGCCAGCCGACGCTGACTCGGAGGCAGGGGGGCGCATTGTCGGAGGCCTAGAAATGGGCACCAACACCAACGCAGGGGTTTGCCTCCACATGGGGGAGATGATCCTGGATTTCGGTGTTGGTGGTAATATTTCGGGCACCTCGGAAGCCAGAATATTACCACCATCACCGAGATCGGGATCTCCTTCCCTCGGTGGAGGCACATCGCCCATCTTGGTGTTGATGTCAACCTCTGGGCCAGCGACATTGAAGACTGCGTCGGCACCCGGGTCGCGCGGGTGGTGCAGGATTTGTGTCAGTCAAGCGTGCAGTCAGAACCGATAGCAAGGCTGCGCGATACGGATGCCACGGCCTTGAACGCCCATGCCGAGGCTCGTCGAGCTAGGCTGGCCATCCAAAGTGGATGAGGATGGTCCGAGGATGACCGAAGAGGCAAGGATGCAAGGGTACCCTTGCGAAGTCGATCATCTATCATCGGCGGCGAGCGAGGGAGGGAAGCAAGAAGGAGAAGGCCTTCTCAGAAGGCGGCGGGGCTTCTCAGAAGGCCTCATGCCTTCTCAGAGGTTTCCTCCTTCTTCGGGAAGGTTTAGAACATTTCTCAGAAGGCCGAGGGACTCCCGAGCCTTCTGAGAAGGCCCGCCCCTTCTCATTCCCCCCTGGGCTCGCCGCCGAGTGGTGCTAAAAAACCCGCCCCGCAGACGAGCACCCGACGGGCCCCGAGCCCCCTCCTGGGCCCCGCCTGCACTGCGACGACGACGACGACGACGACGACGACGACGACGACGACGACGACGACGACGGCGACGGCGACGGCGACGGCGACGACGACGCGACGACGACGACGACGACGACGACGACGACGACGACGACGACGACGACGACGACGACGGCGACGGCGACGGCGACGGCGACGGCGACGGCGACGGCACGGCGAGGCGCGGCGGACGGCGGACGGCGACGGCGACGACGGCGACCTGTATCCGATCGGTCGCGGCGCTGAGGGCTTGGGCGGGGACCGGGCGGCAGGCCGCTGCGGCTACGCGGGGCGAGCTCCATGGCCCCCGCGTGGCTCGGTCCCGGCGGCCGCCCGGTGGCGGTGCCTTGCCAGGCCCGCCGGCGGGGCCCCGGGGGGTCAGAGGAACGCTGGGAGCGACAGAATCTCAAG